AATATCCACATCGGATGCATCTGAGATGTTGTGAATTTTTTATCACGTCCAAATGGCTACCAGTGGGTACTGACAGTTTAGATATGGCAACCCTGTTGTCATGTTGTCATTAACAGGGTCAGTGATACATATATAGTTATATAAATTGCTTAAAGCTGGTCGTTTGCGAGCGGCCATATTGCCTGGCAAATATTTATTAATTTGAATTGGTTTAGCAAAAATGTGCTTTAAAACCAATTTTCAGCTTTTGGATATTAAAAAAAAATAATTGCTTACATTTTTACTTCAAGGCATAAGCTTATGTTTATTTTGAAAAATATGGATGATCAATCTATGTAACTATCTATTCCATTGACCTTGTCAAATCACCAGGCCTACAGGGTTGCCATAATTTTGCCATATCATAACCTGTCAAAACCCACTGGTAGTCATTCAGTTTGGAATGCCTAATTCAGACGATGCTACGTCACCAAACAGGGCCGGATTTATTTACAATGTTGAAATTATTTTTTGCTTAATTAATTTTCACAAACGTATGTTACGATCAGCGTTGGTCTCACAGGTAATTCTAACCAGTCTTAAAATACAGATGTAGGTATAAAGAAATGTAATAGTTATTTGACGATCTAGTGTTTTAATCGCCTTTTAATAATAAGAGTTCGTTACAAGATTTGGTATAAGTACGATCAAGAGATAGTGACTTTAAAGCCAGCCGGCAACATACAAAAAAACTAAGGATACTGATACATTACATATAGTAGATGAGCATTCAAGAGAATGAGTATATACGTATTTTATTTTTACTTCCCTCGATAAAAGGAAAGTATTGAATCGTGAAACTTTAGATTTTCACGTTTCCAGGTCCCTAGATTACGAAAGTGACATATATCACACTATATAGTCCTATGGAAAGTACCCTATATCACACGCGTATGAATAAGAATTTACTTTCCACCCGTGTACGAATATGCTACTTTCCGCAGCAGCTGTCACAAAATGTCAAACACATCATTTCTATTTTGATCTATGCAATGTCCATATTAATACTAAAATCGATATGATTGTTAAATTATTGAAATTGTTGTAAATTAGATCCTAGATATTTATTTTTAACAATTATTATTAAAAATAATTTTAAAATAACTAAGATATGTTTGCTTTTTATTCTGGTCAAACACATAACCGATTAGATCATTCAATTGACGCAAGGCCTAGTAGCTCAGATGGTTACAGTGTCAAACTTATCAACTTTGCCATTTGAGACCTGGCGAGCGACCGCGTTCAAATCCTGTTTAGAAAATATGAAAATTGAATAAATACGATTATTGTTGATTATTTTTTTAAATACATTTTAATTATTATAATAATAACCTGGTTTTACATTGTTTGATGAAATTATTTTATTGGTCGTAGGAAAAATATTGTACATCACTTATGTGAAAAGTGATTTTCCACACTCGTGTGATAGTCGCACTCGGCTTGTGCCTCGTGCGACAATATTTCCCACTTGTGTGATAAATGTCACTTTCCACACTTGTAATGTAATATACTATTTCGTAATCTAGGGACCCGAAAATGTGAAAATCTTAACTTTCACGATTACAATACTTTCCTTTTATCGAGAGAAGTAAAAATAAAATAAGTATACTCAATCTCTTGAATGCTCCTCTACTAATTTAAAGGTGATGTATCAGTCTCCTTAGTTTTTTTTGTACGTTGCCGGCTGGTTTTAAAGCTTTAAAGTCACAGTATATCTCTTGCTCGTACATTTCAATGTTTGATTTCAGAATGTAAATTTGAAACAAAATTAAGGGCAGCTCACAACAATGTAAGTATAGTCATAGATAAACGGTTATTAATAGAAAGTAGACAATGAGCAACCGGAGTTGCTGTGTTGTAAATTGTAGGTAACTAGTATTTTTACAATACTAGCAAAAAAAAGTTATGGAAAACAGTTATTTATTAATTAATTCTATGTTGTTTTTTTTTTCGAACTAAAAATGAAGAAAACAAGTTTAAATTACATTCGAAAATATAACAATATTACAACTATTTTTTTTTGATAAAATTTTAAATACACATTTGACATTAACCTTCAACTTCATTAGGCAACTTTTCATACACTTTCTCGTAAATACTGTTGCCTAATTACCTGTTCTCTGTACATGTTTTAATAATTTTTTTAATAAATATACTTAATTTTCTTTAGCTGTTGTAATAAAAATATATAATAATAAATGAATGTTCTTCACTAGTTTTATAAGGGAGAGATCACAGAACGTCTGCAACTTTGCAGATCTGCAAATATGGCGGCAACTTTGCAGATTATTGGAGTTTTTAAACATAGTAATGGATTTGGGTTTAGTGTTGTTTGGGGTAATAAACCACAATAAACATTGCGAATTTGTAGATATTTTTTGGAATACGAAAACTTGATACTTGCATCTGCAAGTCCACCATATTTGCAGATCTGCAAAGTTGCAGACGTTGTGTAATCTCACCCTATATCAATATACTTTTATTCAGAGCTTTTATTAAAAGCAAAAATACATTTATTAATTAGGAATTCTATTAAAAATGATACTGTCAATACACGAAAAATCCCCCTTTAATACATATTTTAATTGGCGCTGTCGTCGCGCACGGAACGAATATATGGTTCTTACATTTCTAATTATTGTTTAAATTAATGCCCAAAAGTTTTATTACATTTTTTTTTTATAATTTATTTAATGTCTGCCTATTTCAAACTACGAGGTTTATATATAGACGCTACCTCCAAATACCAGAAATTTAGCCGAATTATCTGGTGTTCCAAGTAGAGGTAGGGATCTTTAAAGCGTCCAACATCCATGGACTCAGGACCGACGAGAGGGGGGGGGGGGGGGGGGGGGTAGCCGGGACAAATTCCCGAGGTCCGGGCTCAAGCGGGGGCCCGGCAGCTTTAGGTGACGACGTTTTTTATTTTTAGAATGAATTGTCCCGGGGCCCGACCTGGCTCTCGGCGGCCCTGATCTCATCTGAAAGACTCCACATGCTATACCTGGTACTCATTGATATAGCGCCTGCAGCTGTGGTATGCAACTACGCGGTCAGTTTGTTTGGGCTTTTATATGTACTGTAACCGCCCACCCTCGTAACCCTTTTGATTAAATCTGAAATTGTAATATTTACCTCTTCATTTTGGTTTACTTTAAATTCTATACTTACTGTATTTGGCCTTTTTCCTCTTTTAGTAGTAGTTATCATCTAGTTAATTAATTGATAATTTGTAGACTTACGTTGTGGTAATGTTAATTAAAATAAACCAGGATTCGATGCAAAGTTTGGTGAAAATGGGTAAATAAAACTATACAAAATTTATATTTAAACTCTTTTATTTTTTATACTTTAAAATGTAACATAATAATTTGCAAAATATATCGTAGGTATTAATTTCGACGAGTATAGATGTGATGACCAAAGGAGTTAAAGAACAGCGCCAATTCGCCAGTTGGTTAACTGACTTTGTTGATGTTCATATATACTTTATGGTTTAAACCTAGTAAAATGGATGGCTATTATAGATGCTATCATTGAGCAGTTCACCACTTGGTTAACTTACTATTAAATTTAACCTATCTAGGTTTGTGTAGATTTGTGTGCATAATTAACTCAAGACGATACGTCCCTGTATATTTCTAAAATATATATTTTTATATTTTCTACTTAAATGACCCAAATTCATCCATCGAAAGGTATTTATTATGGTACTGCGTCAGGACGGATATAAGGTTGGAAATAATTAGGTGGTGACAGCGTTTGTAAGATAGGTCGTCGGGACGTAGAAAGGTAGGGAAGTGTGGCGGCGGGACGTTGAACGTTCGGGAGATAGAAGGTAGGGTAGGTAACATTACGCCGACTTTCCTTGGATAGTCATACATCCAAGTACTAACTGTGGGCTTGACTGCAGATATCGATACACAATAGTGTACCAATATTATGACTCTCTATAAGGGTTGGTATTTTTATTTTTTCCATAGTTAGACATAAATAGTTGGCGTCACACCATGCTTTGATTTTCCTAATGTCACAAGATATGGTGCTATAAAGAAGGGGTTATTTCTGCGCCATAAAATCGAAGTTGTCATTTATATAAAGAAGGAATAAAATGGAACTCTGAGAGACTCCCCAACTTGTATCTAAAACTTAGAGTCCTTAGTAGTCCGTTCTGAAAGATAGGATTTTATCAGGAATTCAACTTCAAATCGCTACAATACTGTACGCTACAATACTGTATAATTGACACAATCAAACGTCTTAGTCAAATCACAGAATATCTTCGCCGCAGCTTCATTAGAATTAATTTTAAAGTAAGCAGTTCAAGGTAAGAAAATATCGTAATAAAAGGTGGGCGGAGGAGGCGATTCAGCCCTGATAATTGATATAAGCAACCAATAATGCATATGTGTAATTTTCGAGGTTTTCTCCAAAAACTCTGTAATGCGCATGGGTTGTAGTGCCTCTAAGCATCGCAGAGCTGTGTTATATTTGACTGGGTCGGTAGGATCGTGAAGCGTTCCATTGGTGTGGAGTTCAGTGGTAGAAACATACACCAGTGTGCGGAAGTTTATGCAAAATCAACTCCGTACTGAATGTGTTAAATAAGCAATTACTTTATAACAGTTAAAACATATCGCAAATCTTTCGAGCTATCTGCGGTTGACTTTTGGTTATATCAATCTATTCATGTTATTTTATTTTTTTCATTGTTTTTCTTTGCCAATTATTGACTAAAAATTCTATAACATTAAATTTATATTTTAATTATCTGTGTATATTAAATGAAACGAGAGCAAAAGTGAACTTATTGCCAACAAATTTTTCCTTTTCGTCCGGTATTTCCAAAATTAACCGCATTCAATAAGGTTTTCTATTTAATATTTTTACGAATTTATTATCTTCAATTATTTCATCGCCAGTCTTATTATCTTGCTTTACTGTATTTTTTGATTAGCTTGTATAAATAAAACTAAAATTTAAACAGTACCAAACATATATTAAACCAACAAGTTAATAAATATAACAAAACCTTAAAATTACTGATTTAAGCTAAGGTAGCCCTAGTACCCGTCTTTAAGTCTTCTAAACTCGAACCTGTCTGGAACTTCGCATAACTAAAAACAAATATGGTATTAGTTAAGATACTTATTAGGAATATCTTTTTCATACATTCTCTCATATTTTTCTCGTTCTTTACTGGATAAAGAAGGCTTCGTTTTTTGCAATGATTCTTCAAGGTGATTCTGAGTTATTATGGAATCTTGAGTTAAAACCTGAAATTAAAAATTATAACATCAAATATTTTTAAAATGCACGTAATAAAATAAATAATGGAATCTGTAGATGCGTTAAATTTACTTGTACACAATGTGTGGCAATTTCGCGAGAATAAGAAGTCATAAAGTATCGCCATCTATACTTGGTAAGCAAAATCAAAGCTCGCGGTATAACCCAAAGGAGTAGTTGTCAGTAAATATCAGCAAAACTATTGCCAAGCAGCTGTAATGTCAATTCTTTAACCAGAAATCAGAGATTCTCTGCCAGAAATCAAATCACGACTGATGAAAGACTGCCTTGAAGCCCTGACAAAGGTAAGCACTCAAAACAAAGTGACCTTAGCATAGATAACAGGCCACGAAGGGCATCAGGGCAACGGAAAGGCCGACGAGTTAGGCCCTGACAGGCCCCGATCCTTTCTGTGTAGTTTTTAAACCAATGTTCAAGGCATTCATCAAACAATGGATACAAAGAGTCTCAGAAATAGTGGAACAACTATCCAGGATTATAAACTATTGTTTAAAACTTTATAATTTTTATTTTTGAAACCCCTGTCGAAAATGCGACAAATAGAAAAATATTTTACTTAAATCGAGAATAGTTTAAAATTCATTCATGCAAATTTTCACAAGTATTAAAAATTAAAAATTTAAAAAAACGACTTCAAAAACGTGAAGATGCCATCACCACATCTTAACCAAATTTATATGGGATCGCCCCTTACTAACAAAAAAAGAATCATATAAATCTGACAAGGTGGTAAAGCATTATCGCTAAACATACTTAAAAAAATGAAGATTTTGACCAAATTTATATGGGACCACCCCTTTCTAGCAAAAAAAGAATCATTGAAATCGGACACCATGTTAAAGAATTATCGCTGAATATACTTAAAAAAATATTATGGAACCGTCGGTCAAGTTCAAGAAAGATCAACTGGATCTAGGGTTGCCACCTTTTTGAAAAGTAAATAAAGAACATCGGTGGCGACAGGGAGCTTCTAAAAAAAAGTACTAATCAGTTATTTCAATAAACCACTGGTCCTTTTGCCCCGAATTTCTAAAAAAAGGTTCTCGGTTTATATTTTTATAAAAACTAGGTCCTTTTATAGGACATGTGCTGTAAAAAAGGACATGTGCCGTAAAAAAGAACTTGTGCCGTAAAAAATTACATTTTAAGTTTTGAAAAGTCACAAGGACAGTTTATTTGAAAAAAAAGATTGTCCTTTTCAAAAAAGGAGAGGTGGCAACCCTCACTGGATCAAAAACGACAAATCGTTACCGAATACTGTCGCCTAACATGTCACATGAGTGTCGTCAATTCAACAGAAGAAGAAACATTGTGCACGTTCTGTGTAGAACAAAAAGAAACACCCTGTGTCAGTGTGAAGGCCTGGCTAGATTGAGGTTTCTAACTAGGCGAAGAAAAGCAAGAAGCATGTAACTACATGCGAGAGCCAGTGTCAAAGCTACTAAGTCTAATAGAAAAGACCAGTCTAGAAGACACATTCTAAATGACAGTCCAACAATAGATATGAAAATGTCGCAGTGGATAAGGACACATCTAAATAAAGAAGTTTAATCACAGCAGTACATATGTTTCGGAACAATTTTCATCTTCTGGTGCATCCAGGGACAAAATAAAATAAAAAAATGAGCGAATAAACCAAGGAAATTTTTATTTATATAAAATTCTGCTACGGTCAGGAAATTATCCTTGAAGGTTAGATTTTTTGCAATGGTTCTTCTAGGTGATTTTAAATCATTTTGGAATCTTCAGTCAAAGCATTGAAATGGAATAGAGAGGAGATGCTATGACGATACCAAGTGTCCACACCTTTGCATTACACTTTTATGTCATGTGTCACTCGAGCTAGTGGAGCTAGTTAATTTTGGTGAGAATAAAAAAGATTAACTTAATGATATATAAACATTTTTATTCCGTTAATCTTAAAATATAAAATTACTGACTTCAAATAATCATAAGGTTAATTCATTCGTCCCACTGGTGTAGGAATGAACTACATCAACGGTCACTATACCTTTCATTTGACCCGGTGTAAAATCCACTACACCTATCTATCGGCGGTGTGGTCTCCACTGGTGAATACTTTCTACACCAGCTATTTAGCAGCAGTGACTTACACTCGACATGTTTATAGGGAATAAGGAGGAAAGTAAACTAGGTAAATAAGGTGGACACTGCACCAACAGCAAACGAAAGAACCTTAAGTCACCATTTTCATTACACTTTTCCATCACTCGAAGTGCGTCCATCTGTCATATGTCGTCTCTACTTTATTCTATCTCGATGGGTACATCAAATGTTTAAAAAATTCCCTTTAGAAAACAACTACATAAATAAATAAATGTCAAATTTGTTATATCTACTAATAACAAAAAACAAATATCACATTTAGAAAATTTTATTTAACCCTATATTAAACCCTTGAACAAAAACTTCGCAATACTTCATTTACATTAGATCTACACCTATTATTTCACAAACTGATGGAGTCATTAGTTAAATTGATGCTATAAGAAATATTTAAGATAAGAACTTTATATCTTGGTTTGAGATTGTAATTAAGTAAGTTCGTATAGGAATCTCAGTTAATGACTCTGGTAATTATTACCTCTTCTCTTGTCGTCTACTGTAAACGTTCTCAACATATCTAATCATTTATTGTCTTTATCGTGTCTTATATTATTCTCTACTTATCCCTAAATGAACAGGGATGATAAACAAATCAATATTTTACAAATATTAAAAAAATTAGTGAACATTTTTTATATAAAAAATGTATAAATAAAATACGTACATAAATTTATTGTTAATAAGATTGCACTAGCTAAAATTAAGTACCTAGCCATTTATTATCTGACAAAAATAAAGAAGTTACCCGAGATTGTACACATATTATCTGAATGTAAACACAAATTATTTTGGATGGAAAAAACTATGCGCAAGATAGGTGCTGCGTTTGCGTATCCGTAACAAACCAAATGAATAGATTGATTCATCCATTATAATCACTTCTGCTTAAGTTTTTGTATCTGTGTAGATTTTACTACAGTCGAAGCCATAGATATAGAAACGTCGAAGCAGTGGCGGATAAGGAAATAGCGTTACCTTGTGATCGAGTGTGATTAGTGGATTAAAGTTTCTACTGGTTGCCGCGTTGCCGGAGTAGCGGAGGCTTTAGTGGTTCGAGGAACTTTGGATGTAGAGAAACTAGGTCGACCAAGTAAGGCTGCGATAGCACTTGAATTACTTCGCTGACGTAACTTCAGAACTCAAAAAACGGAACTAAGGAAAACATATTGGGAGATTATTTATGATGGCGGTTTTAAGTTCCGTCTTTGAAACCAGACTGCTATAAAATTTGACTGATCTATCTTACGAAAGTTCCGAAATTCTGCACGCGATCCAAAATTCGGTTTTAAATTAAGGCAAAAGTTTCTCGGACTGCACCAAAGGATTTATTTGCTAATATTTAATGGCGGTATTCGCAAAAGCGCTGTTTTATATTAACTTTCACGGACGGTACTCAGAAGTACGGCACTGCAACAAGAGAGCAGGAGCGGAGAGAGATTTTCAAGAAACCGGTTTAATATTTTACGCTCGGACTAATTCGGTTTCCAAGTGGGTCGAAATAGCCAATATTTACAAATCGTAGAACTGAAGTTGTGAAAATGACCAGATAATTTACATGAATTTGAACTTTTAATGCTAGATTCGCATTTCTGTAAATAATGAAATATTTTGAACTACGAGTGTTCTCGCAAATGTTCAAAAACGGGAATTATTAAGAAATAAAAATACGGGGATTCTTCAGTAAGTTAACTGGCGGAAATTAACTTAAACTACATAATTTTTAAATTACTAACGGATGTCTGTGATTAGTACAAATGTTTTCACTTCGGGAGCCAAGTTCACCTGCCGGCCAAAGGTTATTGTAATGGGGGATGTCATTTATATTTTTTGTTAATGAAAATTGTCAGTGGGAGATTTTTGAGAATTGACACAAAAGGAATTTAAAAAATTGTACTCAATTAACATTTAGAAGTTTGGACGTTCATTAACGTCATGAGTCATACACAATGAAAATGTAAAAAATTATTCTGGGAATAGCTATTATATATACAGGGTAATTATAAATACGGACACAAGTTAAGACCAAAAGAGAAAAGAATGTAGACCTCTATAGGATGTCAAAAACAATCAAGATGAAAAGGAAGTCTGAAAGGATGAAAAAAGACGTAAACTCACGTCGTAGTTCTATACAGGCTGTCACATTAGTGCATAATTGCTTGATATCTCAATTTGTATTATAGACACATGTTTTGAATAAGTTATGTGGATTTGAAAAAATATAATTTAAAAACATTTTTGAATATACAGGGTGTTACGCCTTTGCCTGGAAAGTAAAAACATGTTTTTAAATATATTTTATTTCAGTTTTAGATTGGCATGGTAATACTGTATTTATCACTAGAATATTTTTTAACTTATGAAGACACCAAGCTGTGATGAAAGAATTGGTTCATTTTGTAAAATGTTTTAATTATACATATACAGGGTGCGCCATCAGTGGGTAGTTGATCGATAGATATTTTATTATTGGAGATATGAAGAAATGTTTAATATAAAAGTTGTAAGATCATATTTTAAAATTATTCTTAAATGTACATGGTAGTCTATAAATGAGGGGAAAAGCAAACAGATAGTTTTTTAAACCAAACTCAATGTAGGTAGTTACGCCTTACAGATTTGGTTGTTTTCACATCGTTTATTTTTAATATTAATAGACTAAACGTTCCTAAAAATGTTTAACATTTTCATTTATTTGCTGTGATGCATACAGGGTGTGTCTAAACTTGAGGTTACAATATTGTCAACTTTTTCGAATATATCCCTGTGTTATACCACCAATTTCACAATACCAAATTTCCTAAAATGATTAAACTAATAATGCATAACGAATATGACGCAA